GTGCAAGTCGATCTCTCAGATTTCGCTCAAATTTTGCAGGTAGGTTTGCTTTGGGGTGTAGATCGACATTCCAAAGCCCACGCAAAATCTTTTGAAGGGAACTATGAAATTGGCATACCCCTCAATATTGGCCCAATATTGGCACGATTTATGTGTCTACAAACGAGCCACGGCACAGCGTACAAGAACAAGCTACGAACAAAACTCCATCAAGCCAACATTACCTCACCTTAGAAGAGTTCTTGGGGCAGCACCACTTAGCCACGCCAGCATCCCAGAAGACGAGGGCAATCATCCCTTGACGCCACAAATGATCGTCTTGAAAATAGCCAAATTACAAGCGCTGATAAAACAGCGAGCTACGTCCTCAATTAGCAAACGGGCTGCGAGGCCGTCGACAAATATTACGGTATTGGCCTTCAATTCGGCCGGCAACATCGACCTCCACAGTGGCTCTGGGGGCTCAGGCTTTGGGCTGCCTGGCGCTGGGGAGTCATCCATGCTAGATAGGTAATACTAGTTAGAATAGCAGTGCATATATGCTTCTAGGGTGGGGACGTGGTCACGACACTCAGAGCTTCAAAACTTGCTTCTTACTCCTGGCGAGCTTTTTGTGTTATCACATGTGTTGCCTGACGGTGAGGAACAACCTGTTGCATTTGCGTCCAGGAAGCTATCAGCCACGGAACAGCGATACTCGCAGATCGACAAGAAAGCATTGGGCATTGTCTGGGGAGTCAAGAAATTCCACAACTATGTCTATGGTTGGCATTTCGAGCTACTGACAGATCATCAGCCACTGGTATCAATTTTCAGCCCTTCGAAAGGATTCCCGGTAATGACTGCGGCCCGGCTACAGCGCTACGCTATGTTTCTTGCAGGACATCAGTATACGATTCTCTATCGGCGGACTCAGGATCACTGCAATGCAGATGGCTTATCCCGTCTCCCGGTCGGCGCACCAACTCGTGACGCTGGTGACGACGCGGTCGAGGATATCTAGACGTCGCTCACAGATCCACTGCCAGTCACAGCTAGACAGATTCGTGATAGTACACGTCGAGACACTCTGTTGTCCGAAGTGCTACGATATCTGGAGACTGGCTGGCCAGCAGCCTGTCCGAAGCCCAGTTTGCAACCATACTTTAATCGCCGCAACGAGCTCAGTCTAAGTATGGAATGTCTCTTGTGGGGCAATCGTGTCGTTGTGCCATCAGCCCATCATGCGGAGATTCTAGCAGAGTTGCACAGCGGACATCCCGGCATTGTTCGCATGAAAAGTCTCGCCCGCAGCCACATATGGTGGCCCCAGATTGACGCTGCTCTGGAGCAGACGGTCAAAGCCTGTCTTGGCTGTCAGCAAGCACAACATCTCCCGCAGAAGGCCCCTCTGCACCCATGGGTGTGGCCCAGTAGACCATGGGAGCGCATCCACATAGACTTCCTTGGCCCACTAAGAGGACACATGTGGCTGGTCATTGTGGATGGACACTCGAAGTGGCCGGAAGTCTTGCCATTTCGATCCACCACAGCTCAGGCAACGGTCGTGAGTCTACGCACCGTATTTGCTCGTTACGGCTGTCCCGAGGAGTTGGTCAGCGACAATGGGCCCCAGTTTGTCGCCGCAGAAGTTGAAGCGTTCCTGCGCGCGAATGGTATCCGACACCGCATGTCAGCACCACACCACCCTGCCACCAACGGGCTGGCAGAACGGTTTGTCCAGTCCTACAAACGTGCAATGAAGGCGTTCCCCGATGCGATGCCTTGTCAGGAAGCAGCGTACAAGTTCTTGATCTCCTATCGCAACACGGTCCACCCAACTACCGGCGAAACACCTTCCAACCTATTAATGGGCCGACGTTTGCGCACACGACTAGATCTCCTACGCCCGGATGTACGAACCCGGGTGGCAGCACAGCAAACAGCACAACAGAAATCTTCACCCTCACGCGAAGTACGCACGTTCCAGCTGGGAGAGTCAGTGCTCGTTCAAGATTATCGGAAACCGAACAAGCCAAGTTGGATTCCTGCTACAGTATCTGAGTGTTATGGTACGAGGTCGTATGTAGTGGAGACCGCAGACGCTTGTTGCGGGCGGCGCCATATTGACCAGATTCGACCTGGACATCCCACGTTCACGACTGTGCCGGGGAGAGAGGAGGAGTCGGAAACTGTATTACGACCGGAGCATCCAGTAGAGACGGCACCAGCAACTGTTGCAACCAGTGTTGAGTTAGCAGTATCCACCGAGACAGAAGCTGAAGCAGAAGTCAAACCTACTGTGGTGTCATCACCAATGCCTGTTGCACCACTGTCATCCGAAGGAACCCCGGTGGTACCTGCAGTGCGGAGATCGCAACGGGTTTCCAGGCCGCCTTTGCGCTTGAACCTGTGACTTGTGTATATTTTGTATTTTGTAGCTTTATTATTGCTGCTGTTGAGATGGACAGGTTAGCACCGCTTGTGTTGCCATGTGGTGTTTTCTTTTAGAACGGTCAACATGCTTTACCCTGTTGGTTGTTGTTAGTTAGTATTGATACATGGTCACCTTGATTCTGATTGTCCCGTGTGCTTTCATTTAGAAGGGAGGACTGTGGTGTATGCATACCACAGACCCAGTAATGCGTACTGTGTAGTGCGCATCTTGAGTACACGTAGGTCGCGCCTTGCAGGCTGCGCAGCCGTAGTGTAGGTTCATGTTATTTTATTTGTGATCTTTTGTATTCTTTGATTTCATGTTTTTGTTGTAAGTCAGTTCGATACCAAGTACAAGGGCGTCGGAACCGCACCGGCCGGGGCGGCCATGGCCGCCCCACTTTTTCGGCCGTTTTTTTTTTTTTAGCACACTGCAACAAAGCGCGATGATCTCAGCGCAAACGTGGCAAATCCTTGTCCCCGATCGTGGTTTGTTGCAGAATCAAAAGTCCATGTACACTGAAATGGCACCAAATGCCTGGGAATGCTTGCAATTGGCTTCAATTTTTGAATTTTTTTCCCCGGGGAGGGTAATGTTTGTCCCCGATCGTAGCATCTTCTTGGTTTTTTGCAGAATCAAAAAGTCTTTCATTGTAGTTACCGTACACTGAAATAGCACCAAATGCCCGGAAATGCTTGCAATTGGCTTTTAATTTTTGAAATTTTTTTCCCGGGGGAGGACCCCCGGACCCCCTTCCATGGCCGCCCCACTTCCAAACTCGTTCAGACGCGCCTGAAGTAGACTCAAGTCCGATTGTGTTGTTGTTTGTTCATGTTTTGCCCTAGGGTAGAAACATTGCAGTAAAGTTCAAAGTGATGTAAATCACTTTCCAACTGTTTAACCCACAAGCTCACCTTCTCATAAATGTGTCTCTTATTGGCGATGGTGCCATTGTGAGAATAAAGAATTCAAATAACAACAAAACAACATTTTATCATAGATGGAGAGCGAAAGCAGTTTTTGGAGCTTAGGTGTTGCTTCGGTGTTGATGTTTGATGCCACTTCTGCTAGGAGTCACTCTGTTCGTTCTAGATCTCGCTCTGCAAAGTCTACTTCGACGTCCGCGAGGGGAGTTCTGGGGTGTGCTGTCATGCTTGACAGCAATCCCTGTGCGGACGACATGTCTGGCTCAGTATCTGTCAGGTTTTTCAACGCTGAAGTAACCTCAGTAGTAGTCCCCTCATCGACTTTCGTAGTTTTCAAATTCAAATCCGTGTCGAACACTTCAGTGCTGACTGCGGGTTGTCCAAAATTTGACCCCACAGGAGTTGCACTCGTACTACATCCAATACTCGAGAGAGTACTCGGGCTGGTGCTGGGCCTGCTGCTGCTGGAGCGTGCCGAGTCTGGCGACTCGTTTTGGACTCCAATCTGTATGGTAAGTTCACCAGGTTGCACTCCGACAGTTGCAGTTGCGCTTGTTCTGGTGTGCGCGGTTCACTTGGGGTATGTCGTTCCTGTGGTGAGTTTGCAATCTGCAGCAATGTGTCCCGGTTGGGACCATTTACGACAGGTTGCAGGCTGGCCTTCGTAGCGTTCACGAAACAAGTTGTTCGTAGATGTTTTCACATACGATGGAATCTGCACGTTGGGGCGAAGAGAGAATGTGGCAAAGCGGATACCAGTGGCAATGGCGAGCCCTGACTTCGTCTTGAAAAATCCATGGCGAAGAGGCCCAACGGCCGATCCAAAGACACCCAGGCTTTCGATAATAATGTCGTCCTGGACCCAGATGGGCACATCGTGGATTTGGGTTTCCACGGAATCAGGCACCAGTTGAGTGACGCACAATCCCACTGACATAAGATGGAAACCGTTTCGGCAAAGTTGTGTCAGAGTGTCTCGGGAATAAAACGTGGCCTTGCAGCTCAAGTTACTGGTCAGCTGCACGGATATCAGATCTGGGTAGCCATGTTCAATCAGGGCCTCAGCAACTTCGAGGGTTTTCGTGTGCAGTGGAACGTGGAAAGTCCCCGTGTTCCTCTTTAGAACTTTCGTAGAGACCGAATTCCAACTGCGATTTTCACCGGACGTGGGCATTTTGGAACGCTCTAACTATCTACTACCTCATTTTAAACTATCCAGCCCCTACCCTGCTAGGCGCTAGCTTATAGCTGGGCGCCGACTGATCGAACTGCAATGCAGGGTCGAAAAAATGCAGGGTTGAACTGTGCTGTACGCAGATCTAGCAGAGTTGAACTTTTTTTGGCGAGAAAGGCCCTTTTTCACTTGTTTTTGTGCCATCCAGGGATTTTGAGCAAAATCCAGAGATTCTGTAGGTCGTGTCAAGGGATTGAGATTTTGGTGGTTGGTCAGTATGGTGTGTGTGTGTGTGTGTGTGTGCGTGTGTGTGCGTGTGTGCGTGTGTGTGTGTGTGTGTGTGTGTGTGTGTGTGTGTGTGTGTGTGTGTGTGTGTGCGTGCATGCGTGCGTGCGTGTATGTGTGTATGTGTGTGCATGTATGTATGTATGTGTGTGTGTGTGTATGTGTGTGTGTGTGTTTGGACACCCACATGCGTACTTACTTGGTTGTTGACACACACTCAAGAGTCTGGCCTTGCATTCGGCATTATCCCAGAATTCACCGTTGGTATCGTGTGGAGGTGAATACCACATTGATACACACAGTTGAGTGATCCGGGCAGGTGGACTTGGCTGATCCTTGGCCCATTTGGAGTACGTAATCGTTTGGTTACGATCAACTGATACAAACTTCAATTTTGGGCTAACCAAATATGATCGAATGCCAATCCAGTTTGTAGTTCGGGCTGGTTTAGTATTGAAGACACACTGAAGCTCAGCGTCGCTACGTGGAATTGCTAAATTGCTGCCCTTCCCAAGGCTCTTGCAATAGTTCACAGCTTCCGTAAAGTTTCTTCGATGGCGGTCAAATGCATATTCTGTCGTGAGCGGACCACAAGATTTCCATTCTGTGCAAAGTCAAAAGCAACTCTCAAACTGATGTAAATGAACAACTGTATTATTTTTAAAGGAAGTCTTCCGGCTTCATGCAATCCTGGTTTCAATAACCGTTAGGCCAGTATCTATACCACATAAAATCTGTGATCACTTTGTGTCGTGACCTGGTTGAAACTTTTACTAAATTATTACTATTGGGAACCATTGCATGGACAGTATCTGGATGCTACAATCCGTAAGATTCTCTACAACACGCAGCTCTAGCTGTGTGCTCTATGCACAGAAGTCAAACACTCGTTGCAAACATATCCAGAATAATTACTTCCAAACTTGTCCCAAGTGGGCACAGAACAATAACTAATTCAAAAGGCAATTAAACACAACAATATCACGCCAGCCTAAAGAAACATGATAAACTGCCGGCTGGTTCAATTCAAATGTAGCGATATGTGTACCTGAAGTAGCTGAGTACAACTTGTGTGTAGCATTCTAGCAGCTACCTGAAGCATACATCATACATGCGCGTAGCCAAAGAATGCCAACAAAAGTAGTACAGGGTCAAATACAACATAAATTCAAACATAAGCAATCGCTTCGCGACACTTTGCGCATAACCTGCGACAACCCGCACAAAGCTAGTGGCAGTGACTGCATTCCTGGTATTGTTTTGCAGTGCTGTGCCAGTGTTCTTGCTCCTCATCTTGCTAGAATCATTAATATGTCGCTCTCAAGTGGTACTGTACCCGCATACTTCGAACTGTCATATGTTAGCCCTTTGTTCAAGAGCGGGGACACTGCAGTCGCAGGAAACTATCGGCCAGTCTCTTTGCTGCCCATTGTGTCTCGTCTTCAAGAGTACTGTGTCAAGAAGCAGATCATGGCCCATCTCCAGGACCACCACCTGCTACCGGCGTCGCATTTTGCCTACCACAAGCCCCACTCAACGGAAGACGCTCTGGATCTTGCAGTGAATCGCTGGCTCTTGGCACGATCTCAGAGCAAGCATACTGGTGTGATTATGGTGGGCATGTCAAAAGTCTTTGACAGAGTACAACATCAGCGTCTCCTCACAGTACTTCATCAACATGGCATTGGGGGCACTGTTCTGTCCTGGTTGACAAGTTACCTGAGTAATCGGAGGCAGCAAATAAAGGTGGCTGATATTCTGTCGGCACCTGTGGATTTCTCCAGAGGTGTTCCTCAAGGTAGTGTACTTGGGCCATTGCTATTTGTCTTATACACAAGTGAGCTGTCTGCCATACTGCCAATGCAAGTAAGTCACCAGGAGTTTTTTGAATTCTTTATTCTCACGATGGCACCATCGCCAATAAGAGATAAATTGATGAGAAGGTGAGATTGTGGGTTAAACAGTTGGAAAGTGATTTACATCACTTTGAATTTTACAAGTATGGGAGAGGGTGAGCGCTGCAGGAGCAGATTGACTTAATCAGCAGTGAGCAGATTTCTTGTTTGAAAGCAGGTCAGGAGGAGACGCCACGAATGCTAGCAGGGAGGGCATTGTAGTATTCTAGGGACTTGTACAGTGGGGAGTTTTTACAGCGATCGGTTCTGGAGGGTGGGGGGTGCCAAGTGCGTGCGTGTCGAAGGCTGTACTGGACCGTAACTTGAGCGGGGGTGTTGAGCATGCGTATGTGTTGTGGGGCATATTGGTATTTTATGGAGTGGGCAAGAAGGGTGAGCTTCACTTGGCGACGAGAGAACATTGTCGGCCATTTGAGCCGATGGAGCAGTGTTGAATGATTCAGAGGAGTGTAGAGGGGAGACGGAGGCAGATTCTGGCCGCCTTGCGCTGGATTTGCTTAAGACGGTCAAGGGTTGCGATTGAGAGCGGGGTGACAGCAATGCATGCATATTCAATTATAGGCAGGATATATGTTTTGTAAACGAGAGACAGTGATTTAGTGTGTAGAGTTGATTTGAGCCTAAAGAGAATATTAAAAGATTTTACGGCTTTCTTCAGCACAAAGTCAAGGTGGGCTGACCATCTTAGGTCGTGCTGAAAGATGATGGCGAGGTGACGATGTTGTGTTACTGTTTCTAGTAGGGTTTGCCCTAGATTTATTTCGGGTAGTCGTGGTGAGGGTCGGTTAGCATAGTAGAACGGGAGGATGACGGTTTTCGTTTTATTGACTAGCATGTGCCAGCGCTCTAGCCATTCTGCTGCGTCATCGACGCTTCTTTGTACCGCAGCCTCACACTCAATGTAGCTGCCTGCAATGGCAATTAGTGCGGTGTCGTCCGCGAACTGGCTACACGAGGTTGTAGCATTTTCACAGGCAGTGGGCAGGTCAATGGTGTACGCCAGGAACAGAAGTGGTCCCAGGACCGAGCCCTGGGGCACTCCCGCTGGTATTGGTATGAAGGCGGATGTTGTGCCTTCAACCTGCACCCGCTGTCTGCGTCCTGTCAAGTAGGCTTCGAGCCACTTGTGAGCCTTGCCGTCGACACCGTAGTGGCTCAGCTTTTTCAGCAAGCCTTGATGACATACACGATCAAAGGCTTTACTGAGATCAAAGATACACGTAACAACATGCTTCCCCGCATCCCTAACTGTGGATATCTGGTGGACGATCCGTGTGAGTTGCAGTTCGGTCCCGTCTTGTTTCCTGAAGTCGGATTGGTTGGAGGGTAAGTGCGGTGCTATGTGATTGTTCAGACGAGAGTGGACTATTTTTTCTTGTGTTTTTGATTATTATACTGAGCACGGAGATGGGTCGGTAGTTGGTAGGATGGGAGGGGTTTCCCGACTTGGGGATGGTGTAATAGTTGCGTCTTTCCAATCCTGTGGTATTTCTCCGGTTCTGAAGAACAGATTGTAGAGACTAGTGAGAGATGGGGAGATTTCCTTTGCAGTTTCTTTCAGGAGCCGAGTTGGGATGTTGTCAAAGCCTGGGCTCTTGCCAGTGTCTAGACTTCTTAGAAGCTTCTCGACCTCTTCCACTGTTGCTGCGATTGTATTTAGAGTATGACTGATGTCAGGGGTTGTAACAGTTTTCCCCTGGTCTCTACAACTTTACACTCCCTCGCACCTCATGCGTCTTACGCCTGTCTATTAGCACCTTCATTGGCGCCGTTGCCACATGTATACTATCACATTTTGCATATAACTGGTCGAGGCACGCTCAACCAGGCCTCTTACTTTTCAAGTTTGATTAAACCTGTTACACTGGTAGCAGAGGATGGTTACTACTCTGCTTTTGGCAGGTGTTCTGGTCGCTCTGCTTACGCTCCTCGTACTCGTCGTTCGGCTGATAAACGATATCAAGACCGCTCAGCGCGTTAGCCAAGGAAACCGAACGATACATCCGAACTCGGAACCGTGGGAGCCAACACCCCGCCTTACGAAAGAGCCGCCTGTGTTTGGAGGAGATTCCGCTACATTCAAAGAATGGACGTTTGCAATGGACATGGCCCTACGGTCGTTGGCACTCCCAAATGCGGCACAGAGGGTCGACTACGCGGCAGGATTTTTGACTGGAAACGCTCGTCTTTGGTTGATAGCGGCATTGGAAGCTAACCAAGTGTTTTCCGACTGGCCTGCTCTGAAAGCGGCACTTGGCGATGTGTACGGACCACGGCACAACGAGGAAACATCGCGTATGGGACTAATTTCCGCAGCGCAGCGCGGGTCGCTGGACGCATACATTGCTGCTTTCACTCGCCTCAGCCTGCAAGTGCCGGAAATCGACCACCACACCAGAGCGCTGCTGTTCGTCAGGGGTCTAGTGCCGCACATCCAGCGACAGGTCATGCGTGAGCATCCACGTACCCTGGAGCAAGCTGTCATGGCAGCAAACACCGTGGAGCAGTCGTCAGGGCCACCGGCGTCGGGGCCACCAGCCAGTAGAGAGTCGCGTTCCGTGCCCAGCTTCCGTGGTCAGGGCCTCCGCAAGCTGACGGACCAAGAGCGTGTCCAACTGCGAGCAATGGGACACTGCTTTGCTTGCAGGAAGCCAGGCCACCTCGCTAAAGACTGTACTGAGGGTGGACAGCGCTACCCAAACGCTGGTCGCCAGTAAGAAAGGGGGTGCGCTTACTGGCGACGACCCAAGCGCCCACGCCGGTACCAGTCGCTAACCGGTTCGGAGCTCTGGAGGTTGAAGACGTTGCTCTCCAGGAACCTACGGAGCCGGAGACACCCATAGCTGTAGAAAATTGTCCCGTTGCAGAAAGGTGTCATGTCAGCAACGTCAGCGTCGGCAATGAACCTGAACACGACCTACTGCTCATACAGGGAAAGATCGGCGGTCGCCGTGCAGTGATGCTGATAGATTCCGGTTCGACGCATGACTTCATTGCAGACAGTTTTGTTCGAAAGCATCATCTTGACACGGATGCAAGCTCAGCAGTGCTGAGCGTAACATTGGCGGACGGCTCGACCAGCGAGGTCCCGCAGATTTCCACACGCACGCTAAGGGTGACAGTCGGGGGCTTCAGTGAGGAACAGCACTTTACTGTGTATCCCCTGACTCGCTACGACGCTATTCTTGGCAAGCCGTGGCTTACAAGGAACAACCCCAGCATCAACTTCCGTACGAACGAAGTTCAGTTGGACGGTGAGCCCTTTGTTGCCAAATTGCCTTCAGCTAACCCGCCGACAGCCGACCGGCCATCTGTGGAAAGCATGTTTATCAGTGGCCGACAAGCTCGTCATGCCCTGAGGAGTGGAGCCGAGGGGTTTCTTGCATGGGTCACTGCTGCAAACGAGGAAAATCGTTCCGGGCCACAACTCCAGGAATCAGAGCAACAAGACATCCAGAACCTGCTCAAGAGGTACCAGGATTTATTTCCAGACGAGCTGCCGAATGAGCTTCCACCGAAGAGACCAGTCGACCATGAAATCCAGATAGAAGATGGAGCCAGACCACCGTCTCGACCCGCCTACCGCCTGCCGAAACCAGAGATGGACGAGCTCCAGTCACAGCTATCAGAATTACTTGAGAAGGGATTCATTGAGCCAAGTAAGTCGCCATACGGTGCACCTGTGTTT